AGGCCCTGTTTGGATGGCGAGGCCCACACACAAAAAGGCCAAGTACAAATGCGCAGGAGGAGAATCGAACCGTGGACCTATCCTTTTCATCAAAATAAGACGCAACCACTAAGCTATGGCTTGTTAGTTGAATCAAAACTAACAGTTAGGTATTTAATCTTTTTCTCTTTTTCGAAAATTCTCAACTTCCCAAAAATATCCAATGCCTAAATATGAATTGTACACACCCAATTCTAATTATGTCAACCCGAAAATTTGAAAAAGTTAATTTCTAAGCGTAGATAATATTATTATTTTCCAATCATTTTCTGAAGTTGTCATTTTTATTATTATTTAATAATTTCATTTTTAAAAAATTTATGAAAAATGTTTTGGGGCCACATTTTAAATTGTCGAACAGGGCCTCCGATTATCATGGGACGGCCCTGCTAATGAATATGACCTACCAACTGCTTCGATAAAGAGAGACAATAATATATCCCGAGTTTATATTTATGGGTCAAAATGTTGGAATATACGATACTCCTGATATTTTCAGTGAAATATATCAGTTCATATCTTTAAACCGAATTTGCAAGATGATATTATACTCTACCTATATTGAATAAATCTGATCATTCTCCAAATTAAAATCAAAAGATAAATATTATACAAAATAATAATCGAAAATTCTGATTCGTTGAAGTATAACAAATTACATATAATTGTTGAATCGCTTGGAGCCTTGGAGTTAGGGATGGCAATGGGTCGAGTTTTGCCGAACCCAAACCCATGGGTTTATCCGTGAAAAAAATCTGGGGTAAAACCCACTGGGTTTGAAAAACTCAAACTCAATCCAACCCGCTGGGTATCCATAGGTTCATGGGTATCCACGGGTTTTTGTCGTAATAAATTTACAATAACAAGTTCCTATCAAAATTAAAGTCAATTATCAATCTCTCAATACAAATTATCCATATATAAAACACCATTCTAGAAAATTCAAGCAAATCACAAATTAACTATACAAATTGTTCAACAACAACCTAGAAAACTCAAGAAAATTGAAGCAAATAACAAATTATCCATAAATAACATGATTAATTAATTGAAAGCTTCTTCCTTTCAATTAAGTTTCTTCACTCTCCACTCGATAACATCAACTTCATTTTACACAATTAGAAAGAAAAAATTAGACATGCCTCCACAAACATAAATAAGATTAGTTGTTTAGAATATTAAATATATCGAGAAAATTAATTATATGGGTGTGGGCGGGTACCCATTGGCCGGGTTTACCTAAAACCAAATCCAACCCAACCCAGTGAATAATGAACGGGATTAAACCCAAACCCGATCCAAAACCCATCAACACGAATTTTACCGCGTTGACCGAATTGGGTCGGGTGGGTAACTGTGGGTTCGGGACTATACCATCGTTATAATATATAATGAAAATTATAATGCTTTGTTAAAATAGCGGCATTTTCTTTTAGAAAAACAATCCTTCCTCTTTCTGGGTGCCTTTTTTGGGTACCGCATTGATTTTCTTCGTCATCATTCACATCATCGGCCATTTTCCTTTAATTTCTGTGGCACCAGATGCCATGGGCTCCTCCTTTCCCATTAATCCTTATATGTATACCGTGTGTGCCAAGTTAGCCACTCTATGCCGACGGGGGTGTTTGAACTTTTCATGATATCAGAGTAAGATTGAGAAATCTAATTCGTCCAAATGAGCAACGACAGCGAAAATTAATAGTATAATGTTGGACATTACCTTGTGGACAGAGATGACAACAGAGTGATTATCAATTCGTTTATGTATAAAAAATGTCTCAAATGATCGTGGTTGATTGTTGAGAGTGGGCGAATGATATAATTGGATACTCTATTTTTTGCTAGAAACAAGATGCATATTACGAACAGCTCCTTTCGTATCCAATATTAGCAGACGATATGCATGTCTATAAACTCATTGTGAAAGCTGGTCTAGAGAATGTGGAGAACCCACGGTGCCAAATGCTATTTTTGTGCGTTTTGAGGAAGTTTCTGAATTTATTTATAATGAAAAAGGGTCAACTCTGGAATTAAAGATACGCACGTGTGACTGATTTACAAGAAAGGGAGAGGCAGTTACGTATCACCCAGTTAATTATTATTATTGTTTCATTAATTAATTAACTAAATATCGTTAATCCCTAGATTAAGAAACATAATAATGCTACGAACCTAGCTCTTGATTTTCAGGTCAATATGCCACCGGAGCTTCTTCCAAGGCACAGTTGGATGCCGTTTGACACAATAGTACCAAATTGAAAGGGAACAAAATAAAATAAGATAAAAGTAAAATTACAACTGTTTAATTACTATATATCGATTTGATGAGTTCTAGTTTCAACCTCAGTTTCCAATCAGATATATTAAGCTTCCCTCAATTTCCAACAAAAAGAGAATAATATTGGGTTACCAGCCGGGTTTAATAAATCATATTAAGTGTTCGTGAAATTATATCGTGTTGGCGGTTGATCGTAAAAAAATTCTCTATTGGCAGACGTTTTGGCAGTATGAAACGGTTGAACCACTGTTAAATCACCATTTAAGTACAAAATACCATACCATTAGCTTTTCCGGTACAACTTCCAGTTTCGCAATCTTTGATTATATTGTCCGTCCGACGGGAAAAACCTTCTACCAGAGCCCAAGTTGTCAAGCCGGTATAAAATTTTTAGGTATAAAATTGTTTAACCACAATTAAATCACGATTTATATACAATATTTCCTATCACTAACTTATCTAGTAAAACCTCTAATACGATTGTGTCATATTACTATATATAAATTTGAAAGCTGGGTTACTGTTGCCTAAGAACTCTCTCTGATTGGCCCATTGGTAATAAACTAATAATGATGATTTCATCCTATGAGAAAAGAATTGGAGCGATGAGAATTTCCCAAAGTTAATTAAATTACTACTTAGTTACTATAATGGACATTTTAGATTTTGATATCCCAAATTTAATTTTAATGTTAATTTATTGAATCAATCCATGAATCCAATCCACCATAACATGAAAGTATAAATTTAGTTTGTACCACACAAGATGTTGTATCACTCAATTGTATGAGAAGATTCAACCATTTTATATTTGTTCATTACGTGAAACATTAAATAAATGATAAAAGAATTGTCATTTTCAGCTCAATGTCGAGTCCAGTTAAAAATAAATATACATGGTTATTACTTATTAGAAAGTCGTCATTTTCCACTATGAGAATTGAAGGCGTGAATTTTAAGCGAGTTCTAGTTTATATTCTTTTTGGCTTCTCTGTAGAGTCTTTCTTTTTCACCCAGGCTAGAATTGTCAACAATTATAAATGGAATTCTCAACAATTATACATATAAAATAAATAGTTTCCTATTTTCGATAAAAAAATATAAATAATTATCATCTTAAATACATCACCATAAAAACAATTAAGCCTCAACTATGGAAATTACAGTTTGGTAACTAAACTTAATAGATATATAGATTTATAATCTAAATTTATTTTTTGGGCATATAAGTCCTCAAATATTGATGGAACATACTATTTTAGTACCTAAAATTTTTTGTATTACATTTTAGTACCTAAACTTTTGGAGTTCTACAAATAGGTATAATTTTTGTATGTGTAATTAAAACACCCTTGAATAAATGGGTATCCATACCCAACTCATACACATTTAGATTATGAAGGTAAATATCTATACTCTATCCAAACTCAACTACAAACTTCCAAACTCATATATACGTCACCCATACCCTACCCATAATTAATGGGTCTACTTGGGTTTTGGTAAATATCATTTATTAGCCAAAAACTTCAAAAAAGTTTAAATTAGATATTGACCACTATATATCTCTTCTCGGTCAATATCATATTGTCAAGTCAATATTACTAACAAAACTGCTAACAAAAGATTAATTTTTGACTAATAATAGAAACAAAACACTATAACGGGCCACATAATACATGTCAATATACCACCTCCGCCACGCGACAAGGTGCGACATCACCACCTAGTTTGTATAATAGAACATAACATTACAGCTATGTCATGGGTCACCATTGTTTGACTTCCCCAGAGGTCGAGCACAACATATCCAAAATAAAGGGTAAATGTGTCATGTTTTTTTAGATAAGGGTGATATAGGTTTACTTTTTGTGATTAGGTAGGTACTACTGAAGAGATTTGAACATGGGTCCTCTAGGTTCAAAGCTAGTGGTATTACCACTAGACCAAACCCTTGTTCGTAGTAAAATGTGTCATGTTTAGTCAATGGAAAAAATTAATATCAATTTTGGTCACTCGAACTAGTAAAACGGTTCACATTTAGTCACTCTCCGTTAACTTTATCTGATTTGGCAGTCAACTCTAACAGTTGACCTTTAAATACCTGACGTGTCAATTAAAAAGTAATATCAATTAATTAATTAAAGAAAAATCCAAAAAGACATTATTGACCCTCTTTATTGTCTTTCTCCAGTGCTAACCCTCTCTCGCAACTGCCGTTGCTGCTCTCCTTGGCGTAGGGGTGCGCATCCAGTTCGGTTTTACCGAACCGAGCCGAACAAAAACCGACAAAAATCGAATTTAACTTTATTAGGTGCAGAATTCGGACTAGAATATGTCATAATTTGGGAGTCAGCTTCATTTGAACCGAACCGAGAAACCGAATTTCCAAACCTTCCAACTCAGATGGTAGATGTGATTTTACCCCCAGCCCACTGAACCCAACCCAATTTAATAATTTTGAGGCCCAAGCCAGCCCCACACTCCACTGGCCCACTTTCATTCCCACGTCTCAACCCACCAGACCCAATTCACAAATCCCCTAATTCTCATCTCTTTCTCTTTGATCGCTTCTGCCTGCATTCTACGAAAGAAAAAACAACCCTAGCAGTAGCAGACGAAATTGAAAAGCGAAGAAGAAGTTGCGAGCCGCCAAGCCCGAGAACTTGAATGGCGACCTCTCCTAGACACCGGCCACCGCGACTCGTCGAGCCCTGACGGTGACAGCCCGACCTGCGACGCGTCTTCCATCACCTCCGTCTCTCCCAGACCCCATCGCGACTCGCCACCACCTTCCAGTCGCATCCATCGACTTACCCGCCGCCCGCCACCACATCCCACCATCTAGTAGCCCCGTCCGCACTCTGCAGCTCCGCCTCCACACGGCCCAGTTGTGAGTAGCCCGCGTCTCCTCTGCTCCATCCCAGCTGGCAGCAGCCCCGTTTTCTGTTTGGTTCGGTTTGAACCTAACCGATCGAATACCCATCCCTACCTTGGCGACTTTTGCCATCCCGATCTTCCCTTTTCGACCGAACAACAAGCACCTCATTGCAAGATCTATGGAACTCGAATGAGATTTCAAGCTCCCCGCCTTTGTCCCTGCTCTGGACTCTTCATCCTGATCGAACAACAAGCTCTCTCCTCTGGGATTGCTAATGGTGGAACTGGAGAAGACACACTTGCGCATTACATGGAGCACGTCAAGCTGCGGGCAGCCACCTTCGAGGCGGTGACTTACGTGCAAATACCGAGAGAGGAAAATGTGCACGCCGACGCGCTATTCAAGCTAGCGACCGCCACCGACTTCGAGACAACACGTCTCGTGTCGGTCCAGAAGGAAGAAGAGGAAAATCGCCAAGAAGTGGCGATTAATACCACCCAACTCATGCCCGATGAGGACTGGAGAACCCCAATTGTGAAGTACTTACAAGACGGTGCAATACCGGAAGATGCTAAAGAGGCGTGGACTTTGAGACAAAAGGCGGCCCGCTGCACACTCATTGAAGGAGAGTTGTACCGACGGTCATACTCGGGTGTCTACCTAAAGTGCATCGGACAAGAAGAGGCACGCGACATGATACGTGACCTACATGAAGGGTTGTGCGCAATGCACGCTGGCCCACGCAGCATGGAGCGCACCATTTTGTTGCACGGATACTATTGGCCGCGAATAAAAAAGGACACGAAGAAATATTGAGCCCATGGCTTTTCGCGCAATGGGGGGTGGATCTCTTGGGCCTCTTCCCAACAGCAAAAGGAAAGCGCAAATACATCATCGTGGCTGTAGACTATTTCACCAAATGGATCGAAGCTGAGGCACTAGCATCGATAACGGCGCAACATGTAACGCGCTTCTTGAAGACCAATATCCTGTCGCGCTTTGGAGTCCCGAATGCGCTCATCTTCGATCATGGGAAACAATTTGATTGTGCTGAGGTAATAGACTTTTGCGACCAAGTGGGAACCATCGCAAGGTTTGCATCGGTGGCTTACCCCCAAGCCAACGGCCAGGCCGAATCCGCCAACAAAGCAATCTTGCATGGCTTGCACACTCGCCTGGGAGAGGCCAAAGGTAATTGGGCTGACGAACTCAACAGGGTATTATGGGCACACCGCACCACGTACAAAGTGGCAACAGGTGAGACTCCTTTCGCGCTCACGTACGGTACCGACGCGGTGATCCCCATCGAGACAACAGCCCCGACCTATCGAATCACGATGTACAACGAAGAAACCAATGATGAGGCGCGCTTGCTGGACTTGGAGTTGGCGCAGGAAAGGCGCGAGTTAGCAACCATTAAGTTGGCCGCAATGAAGAAGCAGGTAGCCAAATACCACAACACGAAACTGGTTCCGCAAAAGCTAATCCTCGGAGACCAAGTACTGCGATGGAACTTCCGCCCCGACCCCAAGCATGGGAAACTCGCCGCGGTGTGGGAGGGCCCGTACCTAATCCGCGAAGTTGTCGGTGCCAACACTTTCAAGCTCAGCGAGTTGGGGGGCAGCAAAATTCCAAGAACGTGGAATGCGCAAAACCTCAGGAAATATCACCCGGCAACTTAATGTGTACCTTGTTCGTAATGGCGCATTGTCGCAAGGAAATAAAAAAGTACACAGTTCGAAAGAACAAAAATATAGCAATAACCAAGAAGTTATTCGCGCCAACACAGTTCGAAAGAACAAAAAATAGCAATAACCAAGAAGTTATTCGCGCCAACACAGTTCGAAAGAACAGCAAATAGCAATAACCAAGAAGTTATTCGCGCCAACACAGTTCGAAAGAACAGAAAATAGCAATAACCAAGAAGTTATTCGCGCCAACACAGTTCGAAAGAATAGAAAATAGCAATAACAAAGAAGTTATTCGCGCCAACACAGTTCGAAAGAACAAGAAATAGCAATATTTATAAGGTATACTTGAACAAAATGTTTGGACTGCATCAATGGGAGGAAACTTAACAAATACACAAAAGAAAAGAAAGGAACAGCTACACTCGCGCAACAACTATGCTCGCGCAAAAAAGGGAAAACGCCAAAACAGCGCAAACTACACTTGGTCCTCATTGGTCAAACCATCCCCCGCGTTAGCCTGCGCCGCGTCGGCCTGGTCGTCCTTCCCCCCATCCTCTCCTTGGTCCTCATCCTCACCGGAGTCCGAGCGCGCCTCCTCTTCCTCTTCCTCCGGCTCTGAATCAGACTCGAGGGACCTTTTCTCGCCCAACCACATCTGGACGTGACGAACCATGGCGCGAGTGTTCCAGAGGACTCCTGGATTCTGTGGCCCCAACTTCTTGCGCACTGCGATCACCGTCTTAGTCATCGCGTCCGCCAAAAGTTTCCCAAAAGAGAGAGACGCTTTATACTGGCAAACAGCAGCGACCTCGGCTGCGCGCACAGCGTCCCACCTACCGAGTGGTCACATCGCAGTCCTATTCCTAGGTATAATGAAAGGCTAAATGCACTTGTCCTAGGTAGGGGTATGGTCTAGTCTTCTGACACGTCAGTAGTCATGTCACCATGTTATTCACCCACCACCATGTAGCCTATAAATAAGGCATTTACTCCGGTGGGTGAGGAGATCAGATTTTTCTGACTCTATCTCTAAGAATTATCAACTTCTCTCTCTAAGTTCTTTCGTTGACGGTTATTCTCCTATTGCTTACTCTCCTTGACCCATCTTCCCGAGTCTCACTCCTACACACAGTTAGGCTCAAACAGTAATATTACATTCTTAAAATACACGAATACATGAGTATAGAAAATGATAACTCGTAAAAAATAAATCGATGTATGCATTCCGAATACACTAAAAACATAGCAAAAATATATCCCAACTATCATGTTGATTCTCCATCCCATCTTGTGACGGATGCTCCAACCTTTGCTGGTCACAATTACGTATGTACTACGTATACCAGCGCTTGTTGGGATGAATAGTTTTGAAAAGCTATAATAAAATTCTTAATTAATTATCCATTACTTTCCCATAATACGAAATTAAGATGGACAATTAATAAAAGGAATATTATGGAGATAATTAGGAATAATTATCTTAATAGATTATATTTTAATTATGGGAGTAATTATCTCCCTAATTAAAATGTGACTTATTCCCAAAGAAAGAGGGAATTTTTTGGCTTTTCTGCTCCTATAAATAGCAGACCCCCCAGACCCTCTAACCACACCTTAGAGAGCAGAAATAGGAGATAGAGAATGAGTTCATAGAGCTCTGGTTTTCGCACAAAACCGATGAGCAACAAAATTAGAGTGGCTGTTTTATCCTGGAGGCGACCGACTGATAGTCTGTCGTGCGCAACGAAGGCAGTGCCACGAACGTCTTAAAGAGAGCGACCTAGTCCGCGACTCAGCCAGATCGATAACCCTATTTTTCTGTTCGATTTCTAACAATTTTAAGACGTGCGGTGTTGTTTTGTTTACCGAACAGATTTGATTACCTATCTGGCTTTGCAAATCTCCTTCAATCCTAGTAATGGGAAGGAACCGAGTCCAGAAGGTGATACCGCCGCCGGCGCGGGGAAGGGTAATTCAACCGACAGCTAGGAAGAAGGAAAAACTGTCCTTATCTGCGCTTCTCAGCATGGATCAGAAACCCGACAAACCCAATATTAGCAAGCTCGCAAAACTAAGCCTCAATTTCCCACCTTTACTGTTCTTAGTCGAGCTGCAATGGCGCCTCCAAGAGGAAGATCTGGTGGGTTTAGAGGAGGAAGGGGCGGTGATAGTGGAGGCCGAGGAAGGGGCGGAGGTTGCCGTGGCGGAGGCGGAATGAAAGGTGGGAGCAAAGTTGTGGTTGAGCCTCATAGACATCGAAGGATGGAAGCTTGCGCCCTACCCCTCCCGATTGCTTTTGACCCAAAGTCCCAAATAGAAGACCCCGCCGCCTGCTAGTCGTCTCTCTCTCTCATCATCTCCATCCCAACTGCAAGAACAAGCAATTGTCGATGAGCTAGGGTCAACGGTGAGACTAGTGATTGCCGACCGGGTTACGTCGGGAAAGATGGAATAGAGGGTCTGACGTCATGAAGCGGGCGGCAATAACGGGTGATTTGATCAACCACGACAACTTGACGGGCGAGAGTTAGGTTCCAAGAGAGGTTTAGTCTCGGTCATTCAAATTATAAATAGGAAGAAAGGATGCAATCTGAAAATTCGGAAAAGGAAACGCAAGTCTGGGGGCTCTAATTCGCAGCTGCTAACAATCTGACAGGTGATGATGTCAGTGCAGCTGACAGAAGTTTACCCTCGACCTCTCTGAACATATCTGGCCTTGCAAGTCTTCGAGCACACACTCGTGAAGAAGATAGTGATGAAAATGGCACCAATGTCCAAGTTGCCACTCAAGCGGGTGAGAACTGGTGCACTAGCCTCCCACGAATTCAATTGGGTGTGAAGGATAATACTGAATATGATCCAAAGCTTAGTAAACTGAGAGGAACGGCACCATCAAATGATGTTAATGGAGATCAGATTTCTGTTCAGTTTGTTGATTCCAAGGCTCTCGAAGTTGTTGAGAATGGGTCGTCTCTCAAGATTGATTCGGTAGACCCTGTTCAAACCAACCGTAGAACAGGTGCTAAGAGAAGGAAATCAGAGTCTATGAAGAGATTTAAAAAAGATCCAGCATCTTTTGAAGCTCCTCTCATGGATAATTCGGCCTGTAACATCTCTCTCAGCTTTGAAGGATGTGGTGGTAACATTTGCTGCAATGAGGCGCTTGGCTGTGGCATCACTAGTGTTGCTAGACTTGGAGAAGAGGATGACGAGTATGGTGGACAATTAAAGTGGAGATTCAAGGGAGCTACAGCCTACATGTGGTGCTAGCTATTCCTTGTGAAACCAGAAAGTAATAACCTCTCCGAAATGAGGTAAGAGCTTAAACCTTTACATGAATCATTAATGAATGGTTAACTAGAATCAATTTCATATGAATTTCTGCAAGAAATTGAGAAATCTTGTGAATGCTAGAAAGCAATCTAGATGCATGTATATGTCGACATTGAGGTGTAGTACCTCGATGATTAGAATATAAATTGAATACATGCGTGCATATACATGAAGAATATTATGGGAATAGAATGGGTTAATTGTCAATAGTGACGATATGTTGCCATAACCAAATGAACCACTGAGGTTGCTCTGAAATATTAAAGTTTAAAGAATGAGAGCATCAAGTTGAACCAAATCCACACCAAAAAGAATGGTGACCTTCATGGTAACCAAAAGATTTAGTGCCAATCCTCTAGGAATGACGATGTGTTTCTCTGCTAAAGTTGCGAGAAACTAGGTCACATAACACGAAAGTGTAAGAACAAGTTTTACCTAGCGTAAACTTGAGTAAAAAAGAGGATTTGGTGGTAATGATCACTGAGGTTATGACAGAGGTAGACCATGCTGGTAACTTTGAAGAATAGTGGTATCTCGAAGCATACTAAGACATATGCTATTAAGAAAGTGTTGTTGAGTATTGCTCACTCCACTATTGGTCATGGTGATGAGAGTATGCATATGATGATAAAGTGAAATAACTCTTAAATATGTGATTAGAGAATCAGAATCTTTGGATTTGATTTATTTTGAAATGGGTGAACCAGAATAATGTGAAATGCTTTATCACATTATTATTGATTGCACTAATTAACGATGTGATGCTTTTGACATGCTTTTGATGTAAAACGTTATTTATGAAATGCATTTTCATATGGTATAGTTTGAGAATCAGTGCAATATAGATGAGCATGAAAGTGATTTATTGATTGTGCTATCAATAATAGAACACATAATTTTTAAAAAAAAATGAAATACTCATTGTTGTGTAGAATCCATTAATGTCATTCCATTTAAATCGAGAGATAGTGGGGGTGGTATCCTGCCTGCTATTAGAAATAATGGATAACTAGTGGGGTGATGAATCTGGGTTTGAACTGAGAAGAGACAAATGAACCATAAATCATTGAAGGATTTTGGTTATGAATTTTTTTATTTACACCCTAAGAAGAGATCCTACAACTCTGCTAGAAGTTCGAACTTCCATACAGATGTAGATTTGTGGGTAAATCCATTATTAACGACTTAAAATATTGTAGAGTTACCTCTTGGCTGTAAAGCTTTGGGTAATATATCAATAGAATCGAACAAGATTTGGCATCTTTTAGAATTACCTCCTGGCAATGAAGCCTAGGTAATAAATGGATTCTCAAAAGAAAACTGAAACGTAATGGTTTAGTTTATGAGTATAAGGATCGCCTAGTAGTTAAGACTTTAGGCGTGGGGGGGGGGGGGGTGAATGTACATTTTCTTGATATCTATTCACCAAATCTGGAATAACATCCATGTATGGTCTAATTGCTAATGGTGCATTAGATGGATGTTAAAATTGCATTTTGTGAATGGTGATTTAGATAAAGAAATCGAAATTGGAACAACCTAAAAGGTTGTTATTATTGAACATGCTTTTAAAGTCTATGGTGAGACAAATCAAGGTATGATTTGAAACATACTTTAAAGATCATGGCATGGATGGATGGTTATCTCTCATGGTTTTGAATGAAAGTGGCAAGTGCATTTGTTACTAACTTGAGAATGACACTTGCACTATAAAAGACATGTTGATCTTTGTTGCAAAGACTCATGACATGAATAAATGTGAAAAACCATGTTGAGTGAGAACCAAATAACTAGGACAGTGAAAGAAATTTTTTATAGATCAATCTAATTGTCTGGTTAAGATCTATAAGAAATACAAGTTGTACACTTGCCTAAATGTTTGAAGATGCTAGTACAATTTTTTAAAAGAGCACCAGAGACGGTGTAAGAAAGTAAGAACATACTAGCATCGATAGTCTGCGAGAGGCAGCTGATAAACATGAGACCCGACATAGTGGGATACTTGGCAGGTTTACTGATTGTCCTAGTATGAAGCATTGAAATGCTATTGAAAGGGGTCATGAGATGCCTTAAGAGAACAGTAGAGCTTGATATATGTTATCAACGGTTTCTCGTTGTATTGGTAGGGTATAGTGATGCGGATTAGAATACCCTATAGAGGACTCCAAGACAACTAGAGGTTGTGTTTTAAACATCGATAGAGAAGCTATGTCTTGGAAGTCTAAGAAGTAAACGATCCTGGCTCAATCAACGAAGAAATCAGAAATGATAGAACTAGTAATGGCTAGTAAAGAGGAAAGTTGATTGAGAGGGTCACTACTTGAGATTCCCTTATGGGAAAGACCGATCCCTCCGGTAGTTGATTAATTGTGATAGCACCACAGCTATTGCAAAAGAAGGGAACCGGTTCTAGAACGAAAAGAGACGAACAATTCGTCGTAAGCACAGTACTGTAAGAGAACTCCAAACGATATGAGTAGTGAGGGTGGATTATATAATGTCCGAACAGAACTAGTTGATCCTTTGACGAAAGGATTAGCTAGAGAGAAAGTCCAAAATACCATGAAGGGTATGAGACTTATGCCTACCAAACCATGGATTACAAGTGATGGTAACCCGACCCGATAGACTGGAGATCCCAAGAAACGGGTTCAATGGGTAATAACAAGTCATGAGTAATATTGAGAAAAGTTCATGCATAGTGAAGCATGAATCCCAAAGCCTTTGAGGTTGAGTTAAACTCTTAATGAGATCTATACTCTATGTGGAGTGAAGTACTTTACTTTGGGGGTACTTCTGATAGACTCACCTATGTGAATGTGGGAGTGGGGCCGCTCCCTATGGAACTTTGCAGGCACAAAGTTGCTAGAGCGTTCACTAAACCGGGATAACGTGCATGGCCATAAACGCACGGCCTATGAGAGAATATCACTCAATGAAAAGATCCGGTGTGCTACATTGTCTGAGATAGGGTTCAAGACTACGAGTCACCCTTATGAAATCGGAAGTGTAACCACTACGATAAGGTTCAAATCTTCGCGATACCTTAGCTTATGCCCGATCTTATGGAACTGTTGATGCTGAGAGATAGTTTTAAACTATTCAAGTGGGGGATTGTTGGGATGAATAGCTTTGAAAAGCTATAATAAAATTCCTAATTAATTATCCACTATTTTCCCATAATACGAAATTAAGATGGATAATTAATAAAATGAATATTATGGAGATAATTAGAAATAATTATCTTAATAGATTATATTTTAATTATGAGAGTAATTATCTCACTAATTAAAATGTGACTTATTCCCATAGAAAGAGGGAATATTCTGGGTTTTCTGCTCCTATAAATAGCAGACCCCCCAGACCCTCTAACCACACCTCAGAGAGCAGAAACACGAGATAGAGAGTAAGTTCATAGAGCTCCGGTTTTCGCACAAAACATATGAGCAACAAAATTAGATTGGCTGTTTTATCCTGGAGGCGACCGGCTGATAGTCTGCTGTGCGCAACGAAGGCAGTGCCGCGAATGTCTTAAAGAGTGCGACCTAGTCCGCGACTTAGCCAGATCGATAACCCTATTTTTCTGTTCGGTTTCTAACAGCGCTGAGTCACCGATGGAATGGAATAAACACAGAGTCATTGGCTGAGGACAGCGAAACATTGCTGGGCCGCCACCAGCTCGCCATTCTCTGGTCACCGGCCGGGCCATCAACAAAAGTTAAGAATTCTAAAAGATCGAAAACGTAGGAAAACATGATTAGATCAAGATTGAGGAGGATATATATAATCACATATATATACATATATTGAAAAGGAACATCTCACATCTAGCTACTAAAACAATAACCCAATCCATTTTGTAAAGATAGATCTATACTATACTAACTCACACGATTTGGCGTCGACTATACTACGTACTGCCACCACGTCATTGCTGCTTTGCTAAACCATCGATGTTTGCCTGCCTGCCTCCATACAGTCAGTCGTGTAGTCCCCACCTCTGTTACTAATTAAGTAACACTAATAATGCTGCCACAACGAGGCTCCAAAACCGCCGCCGCCTGTCTCCGGTAGTATTCGCCGCTACAATACCCTCCAACTCTGTCGCCGCAGTAATCCACGCGCCACGTCTGATCATACAGCCATGAGTCGCCGTGCCACACAAATTCATCCACCGCCGCCGCCGATTCGTTAAAACACCCTATTTCCGATCCCAGCCTCGACAGCTCCACTATCTCGCACAACTCCTCCGTCGTGGATGAGACTTCCGCCGAAGACGACGACGGGGCGGCGCAGGTAATGGTGGAGGCCTTGATGGCGACGGCCCGGACGTCGCGGGGGGAGGTGGAAGCGGGGCGAGGGAGAGAGCCGGCGAGGTCGGGGAAGTTGAGGATGGCGGCGGCGGGGCCCTTGATGCTGAGGGCGGCAACGTCATGTGCACGCGCCGCCATCTCGGCGGTGGCGAAGGTCCCGAGCCAGATCCGGCTCTTCTTCCGTGGCTCCCGAATCTCGGATACCCATTTCCCCCACGTCTGCATTCTCACCCCTCTGTACACCGCCTCGTCGCCGCAGCTGTCGTCTCTCGCTCGTTTCAGCTTCTTATTGACCCGCTTTTCATTGAGGTTGTTGTTGACGACGCTGTCGGAGGAGCTGGTGGAGCACGGTGTATCAAAATCGGCTGTCATTTTCCTCCTTTTTTTAAAAAAAAATTCTTTTTCCTTGTCATTTTAAGGGTCAGTGTCCCGTAATTTTTTTTCCGTAAACGAGAGGTTAGATGTTGGAAGGGAAGGAGAGCTCTCAAGATAAAGGAAAAACACAAAGGAAGAAGAAAGAAACCATCATTGTGATGCCTCCAACCCTCCTTGTACTTGTAGAACTCCTCCTTGGGAGATGATCTTCCAAAATCTTCACTTGGAGCAAACCCTAGCCTCTTCTCCGTCTTGGTTCGTCACTTTTTCTATCTAAGGTTTCAAGAAGAAGGCTCCCCCCCCTTTGGGGATCCCTCCTCTCTCTTCCTTTCAGCTCACATTATATACTGGGACTGGGCTCAGTTCACTGCTTTAGTTCACAGCCGTGATATCCTCAACACATTCGTGAACTTGGAGTGTTGTGTCGAAACGCACCGCTTCACTCACTTGAGTTCACGGTTTGCACTTAAAGTTCACGTTCTTAGTGACCGTGAACTCACTCGGCTTCAGTAACTTCAGAATTCGCCCTGGACGCTTTGCGATTCACGGTTTATGGCTCTAGTTCACGGCCTTAGAGGCCGTGAACTCCAATGCCAGACCGTGAACTGCAACTGATTCTTAGACGCCCGTACTTCGGTGTTACGGGGCAATTGTCACGGTTTGGACTTTTCTTCGTTTTTTGCACTTTTTGACCTCCAATTATCCCGAACTCGTCCTCGACCCTTCCACACATGCTAGGACCTGAAATGTATCAAAACAAGCACAAACTAGCATGAAATATGTCGAGGAACGATTAAATGCAAAGTCAAACTATCAAGAAATGAGGGATAAAATGTATACAATTGGACCAGAATCACTCCCCACACTTGAACGTTTGCTTGCCCCCAAGCAAACCAATCTCGAACAAGGTAATATTTCAACCCAACAACAAAAACTTGGGGACCAATCAAAGATTCAAAGGGCACACAATGGATGAATCTCAATGTTTATTTGGCATCAACAAATGAACTGTCACAGGCAATAGCGGCACCCGCCACAAACGACATTCAAATGCATTAAGAACGTGCAGACGAAAAGCTCTCACCCTATTCACAAATCAATAAAAGTCTCGACCGGACTACTCATCAACCACTACTAACCATGCATAGAACTCAAGTCCAGGAACAAACGAATGGGCTAGCTAGGTCCTCATCGGGATAAGATATGAACATGCAACACAAGAATGAATCACTCACTCTCTTGGCCAGTGGGGTCGGGACCTTTTGGGGCAAAGAATGTGCACAATCATCAACTCTTGACCCCATTGTCGCAAAACCACGGCGGCAACCTCTAAATGCTAGAGTTCATGGAATGGTTGTCATCACTAGCTGGTCTGGAGGTCGTAGACACAGGTACAAATGACTGGCGATTGTCTTGGACATTGGGAAAAAGGCCTTTTGGGTGGTGGCAAACACATCATGAGGTCCTACAACTTCACCATAAAACCGAAGGTTCTATGGTTATGACTAAGAACCTTCCTCACAAACAACGACCACTAGCATCGGCCAAAAACCTTGATTCTCCCTTCCAAACTATCACCCATCATGAACTTCCCTTAAGCACTCTTCCTCGGCCCACTCCTCCTATCACATTTCAATTTGGTAGTGAAGGAGTTATAAGACAATGTGGAGGTTTCAATGGCTTGTGTGCCAAGAAACCTGACCTAGAGCATACTCTTTGATTCGTTGTGGCACTCTCTACTTTATTTACCCCGTTTTATTACCTCTTTTTTCGTTTCTCTTTCTTTTTCTTTCTTTCTTTCTTCTTTCCTTTTATTTCTTTTTCTTTTCTTTTTAAGGGGGGTACTAGAGAGTTAAGCATTTTCCACACTACTTTTAACGATCAATGCTCTCTTTTTAAGAACTCACTCCAACACTACTCTTCTTTTCACTTTCGTTCCTAGCAAGAACCGCACACAATCCTCCTATGTAGAACCTCAATGGAGCTCATAAGTGAGAGTTTCGGGACACAAGGATGACACATGTATAGACACAAAGAAAGGATGAGGAGTCGTTCTATCAACACCCTTAAGCTCAAAAGCAAAAAACTCCTAACCTGAGAACGACCCCAAAAGTCACAAGGCTCAAAGGGGTTGACTAGTGGATAAAACATTTTGGGACAATCAACATTTGGGCGTGGAATAATCCTATGCCTCCATCATACTCACCAGTGAAAACTGTGATGTTACTCGCCATGGTAAGAGAGATCTAAGCACACAAGAAGAAAACGATCGGCTCAAAGCTCACATGGCTATCTAGTCACCCAACCACCATGCATGGCAATTGTAATCAACAAGTAATCAAGTCAAGACATCCATTCATTTATGCACTCATGAGAACGAAAACTTTGCACTATCCTAATGGACCTCTCAGTCATCATCATATGAAGCACTCGATCACATGCAATAATTCAAGGTTAAAGCCAATAGACACGAAATTCTCCCACAAATCGACCACTTCGATAATGCATTGCATTGCTTGCAGCCCTCAAATTTTTCAAATTTGGGCATACATCAAGGCTCCAAGCATTCAGTCACACACACAAGAATAATAATAAACTACTCCCCCCCCCCCCCCCCCCCCCCCCCCCCCCCCCCCTACACACACACACTTAAGCTCAACATTGCCCTCAATGGCGTAAAATAAGGGGTATACCGATGTTGCCGCATAGCTTGGTGAGTGAAAGTCGGGACATAATTGGGCCAGAGATAAAAAGGAGAGAGCTTCACATGGGAACAAACACAAAAACACAAACACATTCTCACACAAGGCGAGGTTATTTCACAATAATATTACTTTACATAAAAATAAACACAAACCTACGTTGGGTTGCCTCCCAACAAGTGCTACTTTCACGTCATAAGCTAGACGGTTGTTCCTTAAGCTTTGGTCCATGCTAGAACCTCCTTGAAGTTGAGGTTCTCATCATCTAGGCGGAGACTCAATTCATGAGCAAATGGATTGACATTTGATGACCGACTCATGAAATTGAGTCAGATGAAGCCCCCACCCTTGAGACCTCTACTTCTCTTTTTCTCTTTTCTCTTTGCCGCGAACCGGATAGAACATCGTCAACTCTCCTTCACCGGCTCTATCAAGGAAGAATGATGAAGGTGTGCTTTGGTAGGACAAAGAGTGATCGCAAAAGGATCCTTGCTAAGTAATTCCTCGATGTTTGGTGGAGATTTGTTGTTAATCACATGGCTGATGCAAGCCTCTTCCACCAAGACTTCCTCCTTAGCACAAAGGCCAATTGTTTCATCCAACTCCTTCTCTTCTTCATATTCCTCCTCTTTTGGATCCTCAAGAAATTCTTCTTCGTTTGATTCTACCTCCTCCACAGCTTCTTCTTTCCTTATCTTTCCTTGCTCTTCCGCAAGCAAGCGTTGAATAGCGAGTCTCCAAGCTATGTCATCGATTGGCTCGACTCGCATCTCCTCATGGAGATCCTCCTCTTTAACGCTTGGGATGAAATGTGGAAGAGTGGTGGCTATCTCAAGAGGAGATTCTAAGTCTTGAGCATCACGGTGGCCATCCGTGAAAACTTCTAACTGTTCCAATTCATCCTTGAGGCTTTCCTCTTCATCTTCCTTTTCTTCACGAACCGCCAAGAGTTGGTCTTGGGTGAATCGTGCACAAGCTTCCTTGACCATCGAGTTTAGCTTCTCCGTGCGATTGCATATTTCCTCCGCTTCATAGAGGACATCCGAGTGAGGTGGATCCATGGTTGGAAAGGCCGGTTCAGAATATGATTTCTCATTATCCAATACGAACTTCTCCACCAAAAGCTCCAATTGGCTCTTTGCTTCTTCTTGTAGATGGTAACCTTCATAGTATGGAGAGAACTCTTGAACATCCGGGGGGTATGGTTTCTCATCAACGAAGGGTAGTTGGTAGTCGACCCTAGATCCATACTCATCTCCTTCTTGATAGTCCCATTTCGGCTCGGGGAAACACCATTCGAGTGTTCGTGGATACCCCCACGGGTAGGGGAAGCTATAAGGATTCATGGCTCAACTCTGCATCACACAAAGATAAAACACAAAAACAAAACACAAGACAAGACATGAAAAAAAGGCAAGAGTAACACTAAACGACCTTTTCAAAATAATGGACCGCAGTCTCCGACAACGACGCCAAAAACTTGACTCGCACGAAACTACACCATGAATTAATCCCGACTAGAGCCCTAGTTTTTAAACTCTAGCCGGGTGCAGTATAGGGCAAGTATTTAATTGTCAAACCCGGGCCGATCCATGTACCCCTACTTCAATCGCTTAAGTTGTTATCTAGAAAAACGGGTTTGGGTTTAAAACAATGAAAATTACAAATGAAAACATACAAGTAAGGTAAAATGGGTGGAAAACTTTAAGTGAGGAGCTTCACTAGGGTGTTGCTTTCCCCCTAACCAACTGCCAAGAACCGTGGGATTGAATGAAGCGGCGTGTGACGAGGCAATTGTGACCCGTTGGAGGTGCAACAATGGTTGGAAACCATTCTCCCAATCGCTAGGCCAAGGTAGGGGTCAAAGACTACAATTGTAGCCCTCTTGGCCCAAGCAATTTAGGGTTGACCTATCTTCTCCCTCAAACAAAGGGTTTGGACGATATAATTACAATTAACCTAGATGTCTAATTCAAGCTTAGAGATTTTCCCTTAATTAACCTAGAATAGAAGGCACGGAATGCCCAAGGAAACCCATCTCTAAAAGAGCCTCTTAACCAAAGGGGGTCTTCTCTCTAACCTAGGTTAGAATGACAATTAGATTGATAGGCTTTCACACAACACAATCAATCATGAATAATACCTCAAACCTTAAATTAAACACCTCCATCACACAATCATTCAATCCACACAATCAATTACATGATAAGAGTTAGGGTTCTACAACACCCAAGTGAAAAAAGGAAACTACTCCATGCTAGATAAAGGAAAAACACAAAGGAAGAAGAAAGAAACCATTGTGATGCCTCCAACCCTCCTTTTGCTTGTAGAACTCCTCCTTGGGAGAGGATCTTCCAAAATCTTCACTTTGAGCAAACCCTAGCCTCTTCTCCCTCTTGGTTCATCACTTTTTCTCTCTAGGGTTTCAAGAAGAAAGCTCTCCCCCCTTTGGGACTCCCCCCTCTCTCTTCCTTTCAACTCACATTATATACAAGGATTGGGCTCAGTTCACGGCCATGAACTCCTCAACCCCTCCGTGAACTTGGAGTGTTGTATCGAAATGCACCGCTTCACTCACTTGAGTTCACGGTTTGCACTCAAAGTTCATTGTCTTGGTGACCATGAACTCACTCGACGTCAGTAACTTTAGAATTCGCCTTGGATGCTTAGCGGTTCATGGTTTATGGCTCCAGTTCACGTCTTTCGAGGCCGTGAACTCCAATGCTAGACCATGAACTGCAGCTGATTCTTGGACGTTCGCGCTTCCCTGTTACGGGGCAATTGTCATGGTCTAGAGACCGTGACAATTGCGTCCAAATAGTGACTTTGGACTTTTCTTCGGTTTTTGCGCTTTTTGACCTCCAATTGTCCCGAACTCGTCCTCGACCCTTCCACACGTGCTAGGACCTAAAATGTATCAAAACAAGCACAACTGAGCGTGAAATATGTAGAGGAACGATAAAATGCAAAGTCAAACTAGCAAGAAATGAGGGGTAAAATGTGTACAATTGGACCCGAATCATAGACCGTCAAGTGTCAATACACCTTACGTAAGAGTTGGAGTAGGCACAAAGAGTCAGAGAATCAATAATTAAAGGATAAAAAGACTCTTGATCGAGCTTCAAATTAAGCTCCATAATGTTGGAACCTGACTGACAATTTGGGAAGTTATGATTGGCAAAGAGATCACTAATGTACTTTTGTAGACCAAAAAAAGGTCCAGGGATCGCTAAGAGAAACCTCCAAGTCTAGAAAGTACGAAAGGTAACCAAGCTCATTCAAATTGACAGAGGCATGAAAGCCATGATGCAGGAGGTGAATGTCCTTAATATTATCAAGAGGGTGACCACCATATCATCAACATAAATGAAGTAAGACCACAACGCCAACAACCGATGACTTGATGAATAACAAGGGATCGTTGAGATTTTTCTCAAAGACGAGCCCCACTATAGTCGCCTAAAATTTCTCAAACCACTCCCGAAGGGACCTACTTGAGACCACAATGATAGCAATGTTATTTAAAATTTAGATGTGTGGAGTCAAGAGTATAACCAAAAGGACATTAAGTGTAAACCTCCTTCTTCAAATGATCACGTAAAAAGTTTTCTAGACATCCAATTGTAATAAGGGATGACAACGGAGAGAGAATCAATTGCCAAGAGAGCCCAAACAATAGCCATCATTTCTACAAGAGAAAAGATCTCCTCAAAACCAATATCGTATTCTTGAGTGAACCCCTATGTGAATAAATTCTTGATGACTAATTTCCATAGTGTTTGATCACTCGGTATATACCCGTTGGCTGACTTGGTCAGCGGAGAAAAAATTGAGATACTGGAATTTGGCCAATTCGTTTTGCAGAAAGAAGAAGAGATCGATGGAGATATAGGAGGATGGAGATAAAAGCAAAATTGTCTATAAATAGTTGGGGCTAGCTCAAATCCCATATTATAAATCAATAAGTTATTGTACCAGAATTTCTTATTCAAATTATCTGATTTTTTTAAGTGAGCAATTTGAGCTCAAATCTCTTAACTTACATATCTCTTAATAGATGAATGATCATTGACTAGCAGCAGCAGCTGAGGATTGAATCAAGGAGAGATGGAGAGAAGGCTGCTGCTGCAGGTTGGAGACACTTGCAACTGAAGACCACTTGCCCAGAAGAAACGACAGCGTTTTGCTCTAATTCGGAAAGCTGCTTTGGAGCAAAACGAAGACATTTCATCAAAAGAAGACGGAGATGGCTTGAACGACGTCGTCCTGCTTAGTTCATTGATTGCAATTTAATTGTGTCTTGTAGACACGTGTTTCCGTGTTATTGGTTGTTTTTATTAGTTAGTTAAACACTGTAGATTAGCCGTTGATTTCCATTTCCTCTGTACAGGCTGTTGGGTATATAATGAGAAATGCAGAAAACGAAGATCTCAAGTTTTGAGAACCTTCACCAAAAACCCTAGCAAAAACTCTGCTGTTCTTCTTTTCTTCTCATCTCTTGTAACTAAAGTCGCCTATTAAACGAATCCAAGTGCTTTTTGTGCTTCCGTTGTTTATATTATTCTTCGCCTTTAACAACAATTTCTTTCACGGAGCTTTTTTTTATATCAAAATAATTTTAAATTTTTAAATATTAGAAAAGTCCATACTATTAATTTCTCTTTGATGGTTTCATCTGAAAGTGGTAAAAGGCAGGGAGAATGGCGGACTCGTCTTTCGTTTTTATCCATATCTATGACAGTAGCATGGAAGAGATGAGGTCATTATATCTTTTATTATTCACCTTTCCCATAATTACTACATAACCGAACGCAAAATTATCGATTTCTCTTCATTTCATTCCCTTTTACAGTTTCACCATTTGACATATTTTACAGCCATAGTATAAAAATTTTAATATAGAATAACATTAAATAAAAATAAATCGGATGGGCAGTGGCGGACCCAGAAATTTTACATAGGGGTATCCTCTTTTAAAAAATAAATTAAATACAAATAATTCTAAAATAATTAAAAAATAAATAATATTTAAGTAAGAAATACCTTACTCATACAGTCATACAGCTTGAAAAAATTCACGATGTATTTTCATATTAAAAAATGATTGTAGAACACACTTGGGGTCTACACTGTTCAAAAAAAATTGTCTCTGTATATCATATTAGACAATCATTCACGAACTGATCACATATTCGATTTCTAAACTTGTTCTTGATGTAATCCAAAGCTGAAAAGACTCTTACAACAATTGTCGTGCAACCATAAATCAATACAAACTAACGGTAGTTTAAAATTTGTTTAATTGTTAGATTTTGAAAATAACTAGAGATAGAGAATGACATTATACTGTTACACAGTGTTTAAAATCGAATAACATATGAGTTGTAGCCTAATGAAAATTATGTTTATTAAAATAAAAGTGTCCTAGGTTTGAATTACCCAAACATTCACTTATATTCTCATACTCAAACTAAAAGATGAGAGTAGGATAATCACTTTTTTAAAATTTAGGGGTGTCCCCGAGTATCAATTATAATTTTTTTGTCAATACGTAAATTACCATCGGGGTTTGGATAATCGTTTTCCCAAAATTTAGAAGTGTTCGGAAACCCCCAAACACCCGTAGGTCGGCCCCTGGATGGGCTATAAATAAAGAAAAACATTAAATAAAAATAAATCGGATGGGCTAAGGCTTCACTGTAATGAATACCCACTTCCCCTCTCTGCTATATCTCTAGTACTGCTCCAGGCCTGCTGCATAATTACATATGTTTTTAGTATTAATAATTATTACAATTATCACTGCAGAATTAATTACATCACACAGGTATATTATTATTATATACGTAAGTATGTATGTATTTGTGCAAAATTTAATATACTAGTTATACATTGATTCTTGTTTTATTCATTAATACTCTTCCCCTCTGCAATGACTCATTTGCCCCTTAGGAGTCAGGACCTCACTCTTACGGTCTTACTTCCCCTCACTACTTATGCTGCTCTAGTCGAGATGAGTTAGGGTGGCAACTAAAATTTTAGTAGCCACCATGGCTACATCACTATCTGCCGTTCATTTTTCTTGTTTTCCGCTTTTTTTAATCTCGTGGTTAATTTTGTTTTAGGGTAATTTTGGAAACAAAAAAGAGTCCACACCTGATTATTCTATATATTCTACTCAAACCCTAATCTACCATCCCTCCAGACCAACCCTAGACGACGGCGTCCGCCCACCTCCGCCCACCTCCGCCCACCTCATCCCCTTCCCCCACCTCCACCCACCTCCACCCGCCCTCCCCTCTCTTCCACTCTCTCCCCCCACCATCCGCCCACCTCCTCCGATCTCTCTCTCTCTCTCTCTCTCTCTCTCTCTCTCTCTCTCTCTCTCTCTCTCTCTCTCTCTCCAAGATCCTCTTCTCCGGCCATAGTGACCTAAAAGGCGACGAGGAGGCTCAGGTTCTAACTCTCGACGCTTTTCAGGAGTCGTACTCCATCCACTCCTGCGACTCAGGGTTGCGGCTGGAAAAGGTGGGATGAATAAAAACCAAACCCTAGATCTGATTTTTTTTCGCATTGGTAGTGATTTTTTCGTAGTGGTAGTGTTTTTTTGCATTGGTATTGTTTTTGTCGCATTGGTATTGATTATTATGCAATGGTATTAATTTGCATGTATTGGTATTGATTCAATCTACAATGGTATTGATTTTTTGTGAAATGGTATAGATTTATATTTGTAGATTGTTTATATTGGTAGTTTTCGTGTAATGGTATAGATTTATTTCTGCAATGGTATTGTTATTTTTCATAGTGGTAGTGATTGTCTAATGGATTGGTAGTGATTTCGTGTTTTTTCTTCTTTTGCAGAAAGATTGAGAAAAATAAGGAAAAGAGATCTGGCTGAAGATTATGGAAGTGAGAGAAAGAGAGAGAATTGTAATTAATAGATTCTTGTAATTATCTAAAATATAATTTATTAAAAAAATTAATTAATATAATTTATTTTTCATACCCAATTTACCCTTAGTAACCACGGTGATTACTACTTTGTAGTAATCACCGTAACCTGTCCCTGCTCTAGTCTAGTCCCAGCTGGACTCCTATCCTATATTCCTATTTGCCTTTTGGTGTATAAATTAGCCATATCTTACTGTGCCCTAGCTAGTTCACCGAGCTAACCGAAATGTGAACGAGGGGACTAAATTATTTACACTTGAAAAATTTGAACTATGGTCATTAGAAATGGAGCTAGAGCCTTACCAACTAGTTGATTTTTAACAATGTGTTACAAATTTTATTCTTATATATTGGCGGAGGGGAGTTGTTATAGCCCCTAATCCAATGTGGCTTCGACACTATCTAGCTAGTCGATAAAATCTAGCAAGTTTCGGCACTCAACTGAACTCCGAGTTGATGTGCAGAAGCTATATAGCCCCTAATCCAATGTGACTTCAGCACTGGCTAGCTAGTCGATAGAATCTAGCAAGTTTCGGCACTCAACTGAATTCCGAGTTGATACGCATAAGCTATAGTAAACTAATAGACTTATTAGTGAAAATGTATGTATAAAATTTGTTCGCAGATTAGTGAATGATTCTGGACAACCAAAAGAGGAGGAGGTTTGGTGCTATAGATTCTACTATATAGAAACAATTAATGGGGTGAGAGTCTAGGGTTAAGTTGGATTTGTAAGTACATTAATGGGTGTGCCCTATCTATGCCGACTTAGGCTTAGTAATGACCCTGATCAAAGATAAAGGGAGCTTTTGGGTTACACTAAATTAATTTTGTTTGGACCCGGACAGCAGAACAACCAAAGTTGGACTTTAATCCATGGGCCTACAACACCCTATGTGGGAAATACATTATTTGTCATTTTAATTAATTCGGATTATTGTCGATTTTTAAGGGTCGGGGTATTATTTGGGGAATTTGGGAATAAACAGGGAGTTGATTGTTATGTTTCATTAGTTTGGTAGTTGATAGGAATTAGGTGGATTATAAAATCTGTACTAGGGCATTATTTTTCATTAAGCAATTACAGAACTAAAACCTAAATCCTAATCTCATTCTCTCTCTCTCTCTCTAGCGCCGAACTCCTCCCTCTCTTCTTCTCTAAAGCTGCGGCAGCAGCACCTCTTTTCCCCTCCCTTCTTGTTCTAAATCACCAATTCTAATCCCTAGTTAGATCAATCCCTAATTGATCTAGCTAATTTTCCAATCCCTAATAACGTGAGAAACCTTGTTTCTCACATCTGGTATCAGAGCAAGGTTCGAGAGTGAGTTCTTGAGCTCTTGAACCAGGGCAAACAACAATGGTGTCGACGAAATCCATGAAGGCAGCAGAGAAGGCAGCTCAGGCAGCCGGGAGGAACACCGAGGCGGGCGATGTTGATCTCGACGGGGTGGTGATGGAGGACGTCACCGAGCTGGAGGCGGTGAAACTGGTGGTGCACGAGCACTCTGATGCGCTGGCTCGGCTTGAAGAAGACCTGGCAAGGGTGCAGGCTGACGCGAAGGCAGATGCTGATGATCTGCGATGGAGGCTTGAGGACCTGATGCGGGCGATTGCTTCGCTGCATGCAAAGGGGGACGGACTAGGGGGAGCGCCGACTCCGGCTGAGGCGGGGAGCGAAGGAGGCGGCGACGCGGGGGCTTCGGCCGCGGCGGCGACCGCGGCGGGCGAGGCGGTGGCCGGCGGGACCCCGGCAGCGGCGACGCCGGCGGCGCAGGGGGGCGTGGCGCTTGCAAAGGTCGGCGGAGGGGAGGGCGCGGCCAAGGCGGCGGCGGTTCAGGCTGGCGCGCCGTTAGTGACGGCGGAAGGGAACAGGCCGGCAGGTACCGGGCCTGGGCGAGTGGACCGAACGGCAGTAGGGTTGGGCTCGGGTCTGTTACCGACGCCTACGGCCCAAGAGATTGCGGCCCGGAAGGGAAAGGCTAAGATGGCTGGGTATGACGCAGACGGGCCGCCTATGGGTAATGGGTCGGGACCGTTGGGCCACTACACGAATGTCCATAACGGGTTGGGATGGCTGGATCTGGAAGAGGGGCCCGAGTATGACCAACTGAACCTGGCGGATCAGCAGGCCCAGTGGGCTGAACCGGAGGTGGACCTAAGGCGGCCGGGTGGGCCGATGAGGGCCGGTGACCAGATGGGCCAGGGCGGGTCGGCTCCAATGGGGCGGACAGAGGCTGACTGGGCAGGAGCGGGCCGGGCCGATACCGGTCGAGCCGGGATCGGGCGGACCGATGCAGATCGGACCGAGTTGAGCCAAACCGGACCGGGTCGGACTGGGACGGGTCGACCAGAGGTGGGTCGGACCGGACATCGACCAAGCCCTACTTCTAAGCCGATCAGGTGGGCGGACAGCAGGGGTCCAGTAGGCGGGGAAGGGCCGTACGAGATGCCTCACGCTCCAGGAGGGTACCCGAACCACCAAGGGGGCTACCCGGGTGATTATGGGCACGGAAATCCAAGCCAGATGCAGTACGCTCCAGTTGGGCAGCCATGGAGGACTCCAGGAAATGACAGGTATGGGTCGGAGATTGAGCAGAAAAGGCGGGAAGGCAAGTGCTTCAACTGTGATGGCCGGTTCACCATCGGGCATCAATGCCCGAAGCCGGATTTGATGATGTTAGTCGGGCGCTGGGAAGATGAAGCAGAAGATGAGCTCGAGGACGGCGGAAATGGCGAGGGGGAGGCCTAGTGAGCTAGAGAAACAACCTTGGGGACAAGGTTGTTTTTCGAAGGAAGCGGGGATGTGGGAAATACATTATTTGTCATTTTAATTTATTCGGATTATTGTCGGTTTTTAAGGGTCGGGGTATTATTTGGGGAATTTGGGAATAAACAGGGAGTTGATTGTTATGTTTCATTAGTTGGGTAGTTGATAGGAATTAGGCGGATTATAAAATCTGTACTAGGGCATTATTTTTCATTAAGCAATTACAGAACTAAAACCTAAATCCTAATCGCATTCTCTCTCTCTCTCTCTCTCTCTCTCTCTCTAGCGCCGAACTCCTCCCTCTCTTCTTCTCTAAAGCTGCGGCAGCAGCACCTCTTTTCCCCTCCCTTTTTGTTCTAAATCACCAATTCTAATCGCTAGTTAGATCAATCCCTAATTGATATAGCTAATTTTCCAATCCCTAATAACGTGAGAAACCTTGTTTCTCACACCCTAGATAATATTTTATTATTATATTATAATTTTCCACTCAAAAGCAAAAGAGAGAAAAATGAACGATGCCATACCCTTGGGTTTATTCAATGCACAAGATGATAATTTTCTTTATTTTTCTCACTCACAACTACTCTATTATTTGTTGGTATTCCATGCAAATAAGTAGAGCATACAGCAGTAAACTCATATTGGTTCATTGGAATAGAGTTTCTTGGGTGATCAATATCACTTCGTGCGATTATCTATGACAAGAGGTTAATAATTATTATTAGTGGGAGCGCGGCTAAATTACACGTTTGGTCACTCAAATTACATAAATTTTTCACGTTTGCCACTCGAATTACTTTTCTTTTTTATTAGCCACTAACTTTACGATTTGTTTCATCATTAGTCACCAGCCGTTGGAAAAAATCCCAGAATACACTAGTTAATAAAAAAAATTCCCAAAATACAGTACTTATGAAAATATTTCCCAAAGTACAGCAGTTTGTGGTTCACCGCTGCAAACAAAAACGGTGAAGGGTTCACCATTTTTGACAAAGGCGGGGAAACCATCACCGCTTTTGTCCAAAACGGTGATAGCCCGCCCTGTCCACCGTGTAGGTTTCACCGTTTTGGACAAAAGCGGTGATGGTTTCCCCGCCTTTCTTAAAAACGGTGAACCCTTCACCGTTTTTGTTCGCAACGGTGATGATATTCACTGTCTTGGTCCGCAGCGGTGAACCCCAAACTGCTGTATTTTGGGAAATATTTTCATAAGTCCTGTATTTTGGGAATTTTTTTACTAACTAGTGTATTCTGGGATTTTTTCCCAAGCCGTTAGTCTCCGTTAGAGTCCGTTAACGCCGTCAAGTTTTTGATGAAGTGGCAAACAGAAGTGATGACTAGACCGTTAACTTAATTCTCCTGTAATCAAACCAAGAGAGAAACTATATGTTCAATAGATTTCAGTCTGTATAGATTTATACACTCTGCCTGGGCGAAATGGCATAGGAGGCTCCCTCGCCTGGTGGAGGCACTCCGCCTTCGACTTCGAGAGCTCCGTCATCCCCTTCGTCGGCCGCATCACGCTTTCCGATAAATCCAAGATCTGGAAGCGCGACGGAAACCTCCGTGCGCACCTCTTTAGCCGGATTTGACGGAGATCCAATGCGCCGATCAGAGCTTCCTCTTCCTGTTGTTGCCGTCGCCCCCGGCTCCCTCCTCGTCCACAATCGCGATGAGCAGAAAATCCACCACGCCTTCGAAACCTTCGGAGCTCCTCTCTCTGAATCCGACATCATCGGGTTCTGCTCACAGACTAGCGTGTATTGGCCGGGGTTGGACATGACCAAGGCCAAATAGGTCGGGCGGACGAATTGGAGGAGGCAGGAGAAGAGCAAATTGAATGGCGACGAATCAAATGGCGGCTTTCGTAGGTGACGTAGCTTTAGAAAGAAGAATCTTAGAGGGATGAAGTATTGGTTTCACCCCTACCTTCTTCACATCTCAGATCTTCTTAGCTTTGTTTGATATGGAGGAGGAGTTGATGCTCTGTTGTTTTGGGTGAAGATGGAGAGGCGAAGAAGATGAGGGAGGGGAAGGGGCCACTCCTCTGCCTCTTTTTGTCTTTTATTTTTTATTTTTTAATTGAAATATAATTAAGTTAACGGTCCAATCAACACTTCCGTTTGCCACGTCATCAAAAACTTGACGGCGTTAACAGATTCTAACGGAGACTAACGGTCGGTGACTAATGATGAAACAAATCGTAAAGTTGGTGGCTAATAAGAAAGAAAAGTATTTCGGGTGGCAAACGTGAAAGATTTATGTAATTTGAGTGACCAAACGTGTAATTTAGTCTGGGAGCGCCAACAAACTTGATTGAATCGTACATAATTATGAGGTGCAAACCATATCTGAGTTGTCTATAACACAGAGATCAAAGAAAGAAAAGTGATCCTAATGATCTGTCACTAAAACTGAAATTTCCAAAACACGTGTGAAAGACAAAATCTTGTAATAAAAAGTAAGCGTATATATGAACAATAGCCCCAATGAAACTAAAAACTCTCAAATCCCACCTCTACCCCTAAGATTTGCAAGTCTGTGTCTCCACTGATTTAAACTCTTCAAGTTCATTGGTCTCACAAATTTTGCATCACCAAAATTTTCAAACAAATAATGAATTCTTGCCAGAACCATGATAGATAGGATTTTCCCCTTATGAATAAGTATTATGCTAAATCTCATATTTATTATAAATAAGTTCGAAACCATGCAAAATCTTTGTCAAATCTGCCAAAATCAATCACTATTTTAATTAAACCGTTACTATAAATGATAAATTTATAAACAAAAATAGTGGAATTATAATTTTAGTTTACAACTAAACATTTGCCTCCCAAAAATACAATATGAATATGTTTCACCAATTCACTCCACTTGTCATCAGCATAAATTTAGAAAACTACGATTCCTTTGTCCCCTCCCCCACTCCCCCCTGAAGTTAATATCTGAGATACACTTCCATGCATGCACTTCACAGAGAGAGCATCATCATTTAATTTACACCCTTCCTTTTCAATACTTATTATCGACTTCAACACCATTTGCGTAATTCATATGGAATCTGTAACACTCTAGTCTGGCTGGACACTATTTTTTACCAAAATATTCTTATTAAACTGTTAACCATAATTGGAATCAAAAGGCTTCAAAAAGATAGTGAGAAATATTTCTTTAATAAATTTAATAATTTCCTTGAAATTTAAATCAAAATTTCTTTGAAACTTGCATAAGCAAAAATCATAAAAATTATTAATAAATATTGCATCAAGTCTCATATTCATCATATATACGAGAATTAAATTTCTCATACCAAAAATCCTCTGGAGCCTTGAACCCTTGTAATGGTCTAGTCAACTTTGCTATATGAACCACCGACAATCCTACAAGTTCTGAGTGCGGATGTGGGATCAGTCCTATATCCTCGATTTACTTACTTGATAAAGAAGTAACTTGCAATGCATACATATATACATACATAAATAATGCACATGCTCATGATCATGCAATGCTTGAGTGTATTAAACTTTGTTTATTCGGAAATAATTTCGTGAAAGGGGGCCTTGACCTCAACTTAACTAGCACACTACCACGGTCCCAACTTACATACTTATAACATAACTCATAATGGGGTTTCCTCACATGTGTTTTCCCGGCGAGAAAAACAAGATGAACATAATTGGATTTGCACCTTTGACTTCCAAACAAACGATTGAACAACACGGTTCACACCTCTTTGAACAAATTTGAAACAAGGGTGTTCGATGTCCTTGATGGTCTACGAGGCAAACTAAATTACATTAACTCTACTCCTATGGAGGTTCAGTGAGAGCTCCGAAACTACAACTATGGCTATGACTACATTTGCAGAGGAAAAGATAAAGATAAAAGGATAAAATTTGACAATAGGTTGTTTGGTGTGATTTTGTGATTTTGGCGAACCCCTTCTCTGTCATCTTCACCTCCTATTTATAGCCATCAGAAGTAACTGCCCCAAGAGACTGCTCTGCTGACGTGGAGTGACGGTTACCCTCTCAACTGCTATGACGGTTATCCTGATGTTGGAATTGGGATCCTCTTTAGTCTTACCCCATCCTCTTGAGACCTCAACCTATGCTCTTGGCATCTCCTCCGTAGTTTTGCTTATCCATAGAGTAAAAATGGCTAAGGCATGAAGGAATACCACGTACCACATATGGGTGAGTATTTGAATCACATGGATTAAAAATGGCAAAAATTACTTCACCATTAGAAGAGTAAAGAGACCATGTGCTCAGTGCTCACATGACCCCCTTGCCTTGGCCATACCATGGGGGTGTACGTTTGGTGACCCCCTCACCATACCATTGGGGGCATCCCCTATGGGGAAAATATGGATCACCCCACCACTATATCATCCTCATGGGAGCTGGCCCTGGTGACCCCCCACCCCCTGATCATACCATGGGGGTGGTATGTTGGTGGTCCCAGACAACCTTATGGGGGTGCTCCTTGCCACCCTCATCATCTTCCATACTTAGCCACATTTTATCTCTTCTCGTCTCACCAAAGCGCTATGGGGGTGGTGTTCTGGTACTCACCCCCCTTGGTACCTCTTAAGGGTGGTGGTATGATGCTCACCCTCCTTACCACGTCATGGGGGTGGTATGATGGTGGCCACCCCCTAGTTACCTCCTGGGGGTGGTTGTATGATGCCCACCCCCCTTATCAAGTCCTGGGGGGTGGCTCCCATACTCCTTGCCTGAGCCAAATTCGGCCAACACCCCCTCACCATGTCATGGGGTTGGCGGTATGATGTCTGCCCCCCTTACCACGTCATGGGGGGTGGTATGATGGTGGCCACCCCCCTTGGCACGTCCTGGGGGTGGTATGATGGTGCTCACCCCGTGGTGGTATGATTCCCACCCCCATTGCCACGTCCTGGGGGTGGCTCTCATACTCATTGCCTTAGCCAAATTCGGCCATCACCTCCATCACCATGTCATGGGAGTGGTTCCAACACTTTGCCAAATTTTGGAATTGATGGCAAGGGTGGCGTGCAAAGTGTCTTTAATATGGGTGCCATGGGCCCAAAAATCCAATCCTCGTGGCCCATCTTAGTCGATTTTAATTATTATAATTAAGTTGGCCTTATAAAGCTATTTAATTCCTTGTTTTTAACAGATGTGGTACAAGGTTAATTTTTTGTGTAAACAATTGCCCGCAACTACTTATGGACTAAGTAGTTTCAGACCAACTAGGCCATCAAACTCAAGTAGTTGGCCTTACAATTTAAATGACCAAAACAATCCCAATTTCTTCTCCTTTGCTGCCGTGTGGGAGGAAGGAAGGGAGTCAAACATAATTATCCCATAGTCCTTCCATCTCGACACAACCGTGCCCCCCTTGCCACTGTGACCACCAACACTTATGGTCACTCTTAAATCAAACGGCGTGGTATCTTTTGAAGTTATTAGGCTAGAACAACATCATGCCCCCTAGTTAATCCAAACTACTACTAATCATACCCTATGCCATTCACCATCACCTCCATGTCTTGTCATGGGATATATGGTTCACACCTTACAAAATTTTAAAGTTCGACATGGTTAGGCCACCTTAATGGCCTGAAAATACGAGTAATGATTGAGGCTTACCAGTCGTGGCAAGATTCTCACATCAAAACCTACTAAATTCTTCTGAAACTTGCCACTTTGGCATTTTAAATATATATATAGCCATGATTGGCTTTTCTATATTAATTAATATTTTTTTTACTTTTTTTTATTGCATATAATAAGTAGTTACAAACATAATTGATCTCCATACCCTATGGCAATAACCAAAGTGCCAAAGGTATACATCCACTGCCAAGTCCATGTATTAAACCAAACAAGCCAACCATACACCATATGGCCATGGTTGTTCAAAGGAGATGATTCTTCACAAGCTGACTTTGAATCACCCACTACACCATTTTTTCCCTTCTGACCCTTGCCATCACTTTGGACTTTACTTGTCTTTGGTAAGGTGGGTATCTTGGCCCATGGGGTGGACCAAGTCTCTGTTGGACTGGTGGAGTTGGTCTCACTTCATCAAGTCTAAGATTCCTTTTGCATTGGGCACATAGCTTCTCCACCTCACTGGGCACCTTAGACGCGGCCGAGTTAGCCTGCTTGCCCCTCGATGACTCTCCCTGCTCCACCACTATCATATTGGGGGTCCCTTATTGCGGTGTTGTGTCTAACACCAGTTTGAAATGGGGAAGCTCATTCTTGGAGAAGTCTGACACTATTACTTTGACATGCTTGCCTTTTCATAGAGTTGTCCACCTCAATACTAGCATGACCACCCTCATTTTGTTGTGATGGCCCCACTATCTCACCAGGTACTACTAGGTATTGCCCTTTCGTGCTTTAGCATTCTTACGTAGGAATCTCCTCCTTTGAGTCCTTGTCATCCCCCCAATAGCTACTGGTTGACTATGCATATCATAAGTATGCCCCCCTCCTTGTGGCACATTGGGCATCTTGGAAGTCCTTCTCATGGGAAGAGGACCATGTGCTACCCATTGCCTCCTTTGCCCCCAAGCCGGTTGAATGACCCCCTCTACTTGTCTTTGGTAAGGTGGGTATCTTGGCCTATGGGGTGGACCAAGTCTCTGTTGGACTGGTGGAGTTCGTCTCACTTCATCAAGTATAAGATTCCTTTTGCATTGGGCACATAGCTTCTCCACCTCACTGGGCACCTTAGACGCGGCCGAGTTAGCCTGCTTGCCCCTCGATGACTCTCCCTGCTCCACCACTATCATATTGGGGGTCCCTTATTGCGGTGTTGTGTCTAACACCAGTTTGAAATGGGGAAGCTCATTCTTGGAGAAGTCTGGATTAACCAT